TTTTTTTCCTACCAGCAACTTCTGATGACTGATCTACTGGTGAGTCCGGTGTGTTTTTATAGTCAGAACATAATGCTCTCTCCTCAAATGGAATTATACTCTTGCTTATCCAGTAAAAGAACTAATACAGATTTGGGTTTGGGGTTTTTTTGTTTTGCTTTTGTTTGGGTTTTTTTTTTTCCCAGTCATGTCACTTGCTCAGGAATGAAGGAGAAACAAAGTACAGGAGGTAAATATTTCTGAACTGATATTTCTTTGTCCTGCCTTATGTTGGATAAAGCCTAGCACTGAAACCAAAATGGAACTCTTTCTTCCTATCTCTTAGAAGGCACTTGAAGGAGGGATTTATTTAATCTGAGTTTAGTTGGAGAAAATCTTGATGTGTGGCTGCATTTCATCATTAGACACCCAAGACAGCCATCAGAGAGCACAGAGCACCTCTGGGAAAGGGACTTGTCTGCCCTTTCTTTGGCACTGTCTGACGATGCAATAAAGAGCCTCGTAAGAGTGCCTGCAGGGCCTGATGGGGAATAGAAACTACGTTCCTACCTTAGGACGGCTAAAACTAGGCTACACAAATCTTGATCCTGACGAAAAACTCAATGCAAGACCTCTGTAGTGTATCTCAGGGAAGTACACATAGGGTTAATAGCCCATTTCTACCTTTTCCACCTACACTTGATACAGGTGGTCACAACATGTGTGACTCGAGAGAGAGACAGGGGCAGAAATTCCTGTCTTTTATCGACATTAAATCTAGATAGTGGGGAGAAGGGGCAAATTCTGCGATAGTTTCTCCCTATAACAGTAATTTAAAAAGTGGTAACCATTGTCCAAGAGGATGAAAAGTACTTGCCTTTCTGCAAGTTTGGGTGGGTGGCTTCCACGAGTGACAGCTCTTTTTCCCAAGGCAGAGGCACGGTTTTTGTTGATGGCTGTTCACAAGGGGGCTTAGTCCTGTAATACTCTCCTAAACACAGCCCAGGAGGGAAAAAAAAAAAACAACAAAGTTCACTCTATTGGCAGCACTGCTGTTTAGGCAAGAGTGACATATATATATTTATATATTTACTATATATTTACCAGATTTATAGCATATTTCCTTTATTGCCCAGGACATGGAGCACATAAAATCTGGGCCTTGCCCCAGGTGAAGTGAGATTATGTATGGCCTGACTGGTGGGGACGTAGGGCCCGGCTTTACTCAGATGTAGTAGCCCCAAAGCCTCATAGCATCAGGAGAAGATGGGGATTCTTGTGTCAGGCCAGGCAGTAGTAAAGGGAGCATCCGCCTCCTCAGCAACCAGCCAGGGGCTTAGAGGGGCTTGTGCCTGTAACTCTGGCCCGCAAGTTGTTCCTGTCCTGTGCGCGGTTTCTCTAGCATTGATTTATGCACAAATGCTTTCATGACTGAGCTGAAGGATTTCTCTGACGCTCAGATCATTTCCCTCTGTTCACACTCAGATTTCCTGGGTCATTTAGAGCACATTTTTTCATCAGAAAAGGGCATTCTCCATTAGGTGAGGAGTGTAGTATCTTGAAAGTACTTTTCCCCAGATGCACGTTAGCAGCAACCCTCTTTTGGAAGGTCCAAAAAGCAGGACTTTCTTGTGGGCTAGAGCTATTACAGCTGACACAGTATGAAGACAGTGACAACATGTTTTTAAACCCCCTTTTTCTGAATGTTTTTTCTGGAAATCATGTTGAGAGACCTAAGCCTGCTATGGCATACAAAGGTTTTAAACTAAACTATTCAGACAGAAATCCACAGACTTGCTTTTTTCTTTAAATGTGTTCTCATAACTGGAAACTGTTTATCCACAGAGAGAAAAAAATACTTGTTGTGTTACGAGGAGCTGAAAAGTGAAAACAACCTGAGAATACAAATGAGGAATCTAATCTAAAATTAATTATGCCCCTAGTGCTTTATTTTTGGCTCAGTTTTTTCTCATCTGTTTCTGGCTCTGGATTTTACTGTTTATTGCATCAATGTTTTCAGTGTTCCATTCAGGGGGTTTTTGTACTTTTAGTAATTACCTCATTTTTCCCCTACATACGTTTAGACTCAAAGCACTAGAGAAGCTAAACAAGAACTCTAACTGTTATTCAGTTAGAGGCTTGTAAGCCATAAAATGCAAAGAATAAATAATTATGTTTAGCACAGTTCTTTGTGGGATCACAGTGAAACAAATTCCAGAATTTGTTACAGGCAAGAAGAACTCTCCTCCACAGGACTCAATTCACTTCTGTCCTGGAGAGCCTGAGAAGTGTATAGAAACTCGTACCAAATAAAGATCATGTGATTTACATAAATGGACAAAAGTCTGAGCAACTACATGTGATGAAGGACTGTGTTTGCTGTTCCTCTTTCCTTAGGCCACTCCTCTTATCATTACCAAACACGTATCAAAAAAACAACTTTTTTGGACTCCTAATTAAATGTTTCAGTAGCAGCATGTCTGCAGACAGTTCATAGCCGCTTGATCTTGTGCCAACATGGTCTTTTAGATTAAACGGGGGTTTTTTTCCCTCCTTATTTTTCACCTTTCCAATAGTCTTTGTGTCTGACTGTGTGTGATGTGGTGGTTCAACAAATGCTCCAAACGCCATGAGCAAGCAGGGCAAACAGAAAGAGAAGTCCCAGACTGCCACTGTCAAGAGTCTCCTTCCCACCCCCTTGCAGGTCTCCTTGCCCAGTTAGCTGACTTCTGCAGATGTCTGCTTGGGAAACAGAACCCATGAACCATCTGGCTCAAAACCAACCCACCAAAACAAGGCTTATTTTTTGGAAGCCTTATTTTGTCAGCCGGCCTAGCCAAGCTCCTCTAAGTCCTCTTCCTCCTCCTCCTTCAAAGCAGACTGACCAAAGCCTATCTCATCCAGTCCTGGAAGTGACAGAGAGAACTGGAATACATTTTTTCTGCAAGGTGGATCAGAATTTGTATATATCAGTAAACATATGCTATAGGACTCTGTGTTTTGCCCCCTTTCTCCAAATCACACCAAGTTTGTGACTTATCCTTGATCATATGCAGCCTCTTTTCCAGAGGTACCCTCATGTTAATTCCCATGCCTACAGCATTATTACTCATTCCCGTGGAAAGGCTTTGTAAGGCATCCCATTTTGATCATGACAGCATTCTGGTCCTTACCCATGTCCCAGCTCTTGCATTAATTCCCCAATATCTCCACCTTAAAAAAAATGATTTATTTTTGTGGCACTGTGTAATGTGTTATCACATTCCAGGCAGATTCGAGCTATGATAGTTCACGTACATAGAAAGTGGATCTGTCATTTACTGTCACTAAAATGCCAGCCATCCAGGCATGAGTTATTGTTAGTGAATGCACATAGGACTCCGTCTACTTAGTTTCATATTGTTGAATAATTCTTCCCTTCACAAATTCCCTAGAGCCTTGCATACTACTGATGTCAAACCCACCAGGCTATAGCTGCACAGCTGCCTGCCTCCGGCTCAAGGGTCTTCTTGACCTACAGGCGTGATTTTTAGTATGATGGTGAGGGCAGTTCAGCTCAGGACACATGGACCTTGAGTTTGCTTGCCAAGTCAGCCATGTGCCCTTGCCAAGTCAGCCATGTGCCCTCTTCAAGGTCTAATGGCTCCAGGATGTCCTTGCTCAAAGGCCAATGGCATCCTGGCTTGTGTCAGCACCAGCGTGGCCAGCAGGGACAGGGAAGGGATCTGAGCCCTGTACTCGGCACTGGTGAGGCCGCCCCTCGATGACTGGGTTCAGTTTTGGGCCCCTCACTCCAAGAAGGCCATTGAATGACTTGAGCGTGTCCAGAGAAGGGCAACGGAGCTGGTGCAGGGTCTGGAGCACAGGTCTGATGGGGAGCGGCTGAGGGAACTGGGGGGGTTTAGTCTGGGGAAGAGGAGGCTGAGGGGAAACCTCATCTCCCTCTACAGCTCCCTGACGGGAGGGTGCAGAGACCTGGGGATGAGTCTCTTGAACCAAGGAACAAGTGTCAGGCCAAAAGGGAATGGCCTCAAGCTGCGCCAGGGCAGGGTCAGGCTGGCGCTTAGGAGGCATTTCTTTGTAGAAGGGGCTGTTGGGCATTGGAATGGGCTGCCCAGGGCAGGGGGGGGAGTCCCCATCCCTGGACGGGTTGAAGAGTCGGGCTGACCCAGCGCTGAGGGATCTGGTGGAGTTGGGAATGGTCAGGGGGAGGTTCATGGTTGGACTGGAGGAGCTTCAAGGGCTTTTCCAACCGAGGTGATTCTGTGATTCCATGAAGGTGGCTATCTATGTGTTTTTCTGATTAGGGATGCCTTTGGCTTTAACACAGAGAAAGAGTATCTTTCTTGACCGAAGCATATCACTACATTGTTCTGAAAGTTTAACCTGTAACAACGCCGGCCACTGCCCACCGCTCGAAAGGTCCGTGCATTTCTGGGGACAGCACCTGTCTCGCAGACAGAGGACAGGGTTTACCCAGGCTCGATTCTTCTGGAGCCTGTCCCATCACGAAACGCGCAGCCTCTCTAGAAGTGGAAATACCAGGTTTATTTCAGGCTCTAGCATTAGGCAAAGCATGTTGGAATGGTCAGTGGGGTTTTGGCCCCGGCCCCCCTGTGTATATGCAAAAGGGCCTCCAAAAATCCTTCCTGCAACAGCCCTCCTGTGAATTAATGAGCAAGTCTGGGGAAAGAAAGTAAAATAACTTGAAATCCCTGCACCTCCCATGGCGCACCAGAAGAGCCGTTTGAAGGGCGGGCCGACGCCCCGGGGCTGCCGGGCGGTTCGGTACTGGTTGTACCGGCGGCAGCCCAGGGCGGCGCTGCCTGGAAGGGAGGGGAGAAAAGGGGTTTTCCTTTTAGACTCCACCGGAGCCACGAGTGTCGCGACTCCCGCGCGGTCCCGGCATTGATAAGGAAAGGGCGATGGGGCGCGGGAGCGACGGCTCTGCCCTCAGCTCGCAGGGGCTGCTGGGTTGGCGGCTCCTCCCGTGTGCGGGAGGCGGTCAGCGATTGGTCGGGTCTGGCGCCAGCATGGCGTCTCCCGCTGCCGCCGGCCCCGGCCGCTCCTGCCGCGCGGTAACCGGCGCCGCCGCGGCGCTTCCGCGCTCCCCCGTGTCCGTGGGGCGGGAGGGCGGAGGCGACGCCTTTCGCTTTCGCAGCCGGGTGTGGCCGCGGTGTTCGGTGTTACCGGCCGGCGAGGGAGGAGCCGGTGTTACCGGCCAGGCCCCGTCTCAGGAGTGTGCCCCTGCAGCAGTACCCGGGCTGGGGCGCTTGTTAAAAGCAGGGGGGGCTTTGCTGGGAAAACGTCTGTTCTGTAAAACAAGCTCGTGTACCTTTCAGTTTTGTTACTCACAGAACTGGTGGAGACGTGCCTGGGCTCACGCGTTCAGGCTGTGATGAAGAGGGATAACTTGTTAGAACGCTTCTAGGATTTGATGACTCTGTCAGTCTCCTTCGGTGGAAATGTTTAAGACTGCTTCATGCTTTGGCTGAGTTCCCGTATTGCTTTTGAGAGGTTTGAGTGCACTGGCTGAAGCCTTTTTGCAGGGATCAGTTGAATTATTCTGGTCTTTTGATTTTACAGATAAAATCACAGTTCAGTATAAAATTAAGAGAAATGTTCTGAATTTAAAATTCTGGGCCTCCTTTTCCTTGAAACTGGATTTTCAGATATGGCGTTAGAAGACATTGCAGCGTTCTAATGATTATTTCTGCATCTTGTTGCTGTTTAATGTTTGGTGTCCTGAGGAAAAATACTGTGTAAGATTTAGCAGCTCAGTGGTTTTATATTTCAGGAATATTTGCCAGCTGAATAGTTTGCACCTTGGATTTAAACTCTAGAGGGTGATCTGTTCAGGACAGGCATGTCCTAGAGTAGCTAGTGCATGATTTATACTTGTAATCAGGTTCCTAATTTGCAGTCTTAATTTTGCCTGGGTTGTGGAACTTTCTAGGAGTTTGTTTATTTTTACATTTCCTTGAGGCCTAGGCAAAGATTTAAAAAGTTAGCAGACCAGGGGAAGTATTACTTTGTCATGCTGTGTTGCTGCTCAAAACCTGTTTGGAGCAGGTATTCGGTAATTGCCAGATTTAGAGGGTGAATCTGTATCTTTATGTACTGAGCAGAAAAGCACAATGGATGTTTTTAGTTGCTGGGCAGCTTTTTTTGCCCAGGGAGTCAATTTATCAAGATTATGCTGCAGTGTAGCTAATTTATTTGTTAGTTTCAACAACTGTCATCTTAATGCAGATATTTATGTCAGTTCTGTAATCAAAACTGGAATCACTGTCCTTGCTTTTGTGTTCTTAATTGTTTCCAGTGCTGCTTCAGTGAGATTACACCCGAGGGCAGAAGAATCACAAAGCTGAACCAGATTTTGCTAAATGGAAATAACATAACGGTGGTAAGTCATTGTTAAAAGGCTGTATGCATTTATTTTCCGTACCTGCAAGTAGATCAGTAATTCGAGTTCAGCTACTTTAAGCTGAGCTTTCCAGACAGTTCCATTACATAAGGTGCTTTCAAGTAGATTCCAGGGCATACGTGTGCATGAATGATGCTGGAAAAGTGATCTTATTGCCTTACCTGGTACGTGTTACAGTTTTAAAAAAGTAAAATGAAAAGAGCATGGCCCTAATTTTATTTTGGTCAGTGTTTCCCTGGTCTTCAGGTGTGCAAGGGAATCAGTACTTTTGTTACCCACGCTGTAGGCCAATTCATACAGTGGCTTTTAACTCCTAAGTGTTTGCATGCATATGTATGCAGGTGGAATACATCTAAATTTAATCCATTACTGTCTGTATAAATGAGTTTGCAGCAGTTTGGCTGCTTAGAAGCTCATTGAGTCATTTGGCGGTTATGATACCCTGTGATGCCTGGAGAGCTGTACCTTGACATGCTCTGAAAAAAGCCCTGGAGATCTGTTGGATTATACCAAACCAGAAGCACTGTGGCTTTGAGTTTATCATGCGCTGATGTATGTAGATCAGTACTGAAACAGTTATGAAATACTGTGATTATGTATCCCTCAGCTGAACTCTGCAATTTCCTAAATACAACAAAAGCAGACCCACGGTGGTTTTTTGCTCATCTGCATAGATGGCTACAAAGTCTGGCCTTCCTACAGAAGGGCATTTCTAATTTTGTGGAGAGACGAGAGGAAGATGGACTTGAGCCAAAGTTGGCTCTGTGTGAATGGGGAGTAATCATTTTGCTGTCTTACCTACCTTGCACCTCCTCACCTGTGTCTGAGCAAGTGTCATCTTGACTTAACCAAAGCAGAAGGCTTAGAAGTGACTGTGCTGCATCCTTAAAGGACAGTACGTGTTCTGACTTCTTGGATGGGGTAAAATTGCTACCGTCCAGCTAAGCTGGTGGTATGCCGCCCTTGAAGCAGAAGCTGGTGATTTTTAGAGTGCAAATTTTCAGCAAGACATAGAGATGTTTCTGTATTAGATCTTGTGTCTCTTTTGGGGACACATCTTCCCACATCAGGAAGGCCGTGATTTAGATTTTTTCTTACTTTGGTCCCAAAAGCAGCACAGCTATTTGTCTTTAGAAGTGCTCAGCTAATCATTAAGAATATATCACTAAAAGGAATGGTTATCCTCCTCTTTTTTCCATTACTGAAGTTTGTCCTTTTGTATTTCTTCTGTTGTTCAGTTCTTTGCTTTCTTCACAGGAGAATGCTATGCAGACTTACTCCCTGCTGCCTGTAGAGGAGTTCAGTCTCTTTCGTAAGTTTTGGGCTCTGCATAGCGGTAGAGGTTGGAAAGAGGAAACCAACTTTCCAGTGTAGTGAGAAGTCTGGGGAAGAATTGGCAACTGGAGAAATTTTTCATGAAAGGAAGCGTGTTCTTTGTCCTTGTAAAAACGAGCTACAGTGTTTCTAGAAGGAATCATCTCCTTGAAGTGAATAGCAAAGACAAAAACCAGAATGTGTGTTACCTAGGAACTCCTTTGTGTTTTGCTAAATGTTCTTTGTGGTTTGGACATTCTTTTTGACATTTCCTTCTCTGGCAGTAACTGACTACTTCTGTTGGTAGAGGAAGATAATACTGAATCTAAAAACTACTTTTGTGATCTACCATGAAGTCTCCATCTGTTAAAGTGTTGTAAAGCAAGAACTGTCACATATGGGTTTGTAAAACTCAACCTATGGCACTAACACAAAACTGTCTTACTCTTTTTTAGCTGGTTCCAGGAGGAGAAGGACCTGAAGTATAAATTGATGCAGTTGTCATCTATGAAGATGTCTCATATATATGTGTAATCTAAACAGAGTTCTTGGGGTGTGGGTTTTTTGTTTATTTGGTTTGTTTACACACTCTTGCGGTTGACATTTGGTTAAAGACAAGGATTTCCTCTTCAGGAAATGTGCATTGCTAATAACACTGATTTTGTCAGTTGAAATCGTTGTGACTTTCTTGTAGAGACGTGTTTGCCAGTTCTGAATAAAAGGCTCTCTTTTTGTTAGCTACTGTGTTCTGTTATGCAAATGCACAAGTTAGTTTTGTAACTGGTTGATGGAAAAATTATGTTTCAGTTGCTGTCAGTCTTCAGTTTTTCTGCATCTGTTGCATTTTTTTATGGCCCAAGCCTGTATAAAATACAGGTCGTGAGCCCAGAGATTGCTGTTCTTTGGAGTACATGCCGGTACTAACGTGGATCCGTTGTTTAAACACTGCTTCAGGCTGTGGCACCAGAAACCATGGGACAGAGTGCTGGATCATTCTTAAAGTTTTTTCTTTGATACTCAGTAGCCTTTGGTTCTGCTGCCCTTGAGGTTCAGCTCCCTTCGATTTCTTTTGCCCGATAGATAGAGTTTCTCACAGTAAAAGCACTGTAACGGTATTTGGCAGACGAGGACAGGCAGACCAGACCTACTCATGTTCAGGGAGTAAAACCCCAAAAACCCAAACTAAAGGAAAGGCTAGTGTTAAACTCCTCCTTGGTGTCAGCAGTGACTCTGCTGGCTTTCACCACCAAGTGGTGCTGTGTGCTCTGAAATCTGCCCCTGCCTGCCCCTGCCTGCCCCTGCCTGCCGGGTGCAGAATCGTCGTTTTAGAGTCGGCGCTCTTCTGGCTGCATCAGTTCTCCTGTGATATAAAAACTTGAGAGATATTGGAAGCGACTGTTTGGGGCAACTTCTGTAAAGTAAGGAATTGCTGGTTTTAATTTGTCACGATGGGCAAAAAATAACTTGATTCTAAATCACCTCCACTGCAGCTTATTCTTCTACAATAACACTGCTCAACTGATTTGTGTGTGTAAATGGCTTTGAGAGGAATCGCAGGTGCCTGCTGTTCCCACAGGGACAGGCAGGGGACAGCACAGGATCATGCTTTGCCTTTCTGACACCAGAAGAAGAAAGAAGTGTTGAAGAAGGGGGGGTCAGGATTAAGAGACTGCAAGGAGGTTGCTGTACTAGATCCTTTTGCCTTGCTCTGACAGAAAAACTGCCTTCTGCTAGTTAGGTCTTAGCTCAAAACACTGCGAGAGCTCTTGCTTTAGCCTCTTAAAGGGGAGAGGGACGCCCTCCCTTCTGCCAGGGAGTGTGTGACTTGACTCACTTGTTCTGAATAGATGATCTGCAGTTGTCATCTTTAGATTGCGTGGTGACAGTCTATACCATTGACTCCCTGAATGGGTTTTAATTTCTGTCCCTGTTTCCTTCTCCAGCTTTTTTTTTAATACATCAATTAAGAAAAATATTTTTTTAAAACTTACATTTGATTAGAACATCATTTGTTGGTTTTGGCTGCAAACACTTTAATTGTTGAAAATAAGTTGCCTTTTCATCAGAACACTTAAAAAGATTTCTGATTTCTAGCCAGTGTGGTATGATTGTGTTGAGGGTTTTCTTGAATAAGATTCTGTACATGTTCCAGTGTGTGCACTTAATTTCTGTTTCACTCAGTATTTCGAAAACAGTCTTAAATTGAAGAGAGGTTTCATGCTTGGGAGAGAAAATGAGCAGATCTTGACTCTAAAGCAGCTTTTCAAAGGGAAAGGTAAGTTATTTTGTTTCTTTTTGTATTTTTGTTCTGACAGCACAAACATCTTGTTCTCTCAGGATTTTGTTATCTCTGAGAACAAACCCTTGGTGTTGCTTGACTTCCTCCTTCTCTGGTTAGCTTGTTTGATGGGTTTTGTTATTTTTTTCACTCCCTCCAGGGGAAGTGCTGAGACTTATCTTTAGGAAGGCATTTTAATTCATGACTCGGAGGTCTGCGGTCATCACTCTAAAAACAGTTTCTTTGCATCCAAACGCTGTTAATCCTTTATAATATAAAAGGAAAGATTTTTAACTTTCAGTTGAGAATACAAAGTATTCCAGATGGGTCTGGTTTGGTTTGTGTTCAGTATTCCTGTAGCCTGTTGCTTTGGAAGGGCAGGTAATAAGCTTTTCAGTTGAGTAAATGAGTGCTGGTGTTTCTTTGTTTTTCTTCCCCTAGAAATCTAGTACTGAATCATCCTTCGCTGTCCTGTAGGAGTTGTGGACACAGTGGTGTTCTCCAGAAGGCTACTTATGGTGCCACTACAAGTAGGTCATTTAAAATAATAACCTTAGGCTTTAAAAATAGGAAAAATTTAACAGTGCTTAAAGTTTAGAGCAGGGTAGTCATCAGGTTAAAATTACTTCATGCTTATGACATGCACAGTAATGGTTCTTCCCAGGTTTTTGGGTTGAGGTTTTTTTGTTTTTTTCTTCTTTAAGGTGGCACTGGTTGCAGTGATCTTGAGTTTACTACATTGCTTGCTGCCTTAGTATGAGCATGGTTCACTTCTGCCTGCTATTTCAGTTTACTTGCAGACATAGTTAAGAGAGCTGTTTGGTGTTGTGGAGTGTGTGTATGTGTATAAATATATATATGTGAATATGTACGAAAATAGTAAGACTTACAGTGCCCTCCCCACATCCATAGTTATTGCTGACCTGTATTTCAGCATTACCAGGATTTTAAACTGACACAGGCATGGCTGTTGCAAATGTTTCCATGTTAGTCTAACTATTGTGATGAAATAAATTTCAAAAGTAATCAAAGCACTAAATGTTTTATTGCTTGCCCTAGAATTATAGAGGCTTTCCCTGTCTAATTTTTTTTTTTCAGGATTTGCTGTATTATTTTACCATACGAAATGGGAAGAGATTTCTGGCTTACTGTTGGCTTTTAATAGATTTTTTTTCCTTGAGTTGCCCAGCAATTAAGTCATAGAGTTTAGAATTCAATTGACGGACATTTTGCATGTCTGTGTTCAAATATTGATGCCTACAAGCCATCATACAGTTCATGTTCATAGCTTTATGGATACTTTAAAGGTAGGCAATAGTCTTTATTTTTTAATAATGTTTTATCTTTTTCTCTTTGGCAAGAACAAGCAAGTTTGTCTGGGTGTATAGTACTTACAGCTTTTCCCTATTGTCAGCCTTTAAAAAGGGGAAAACCTATATCAAGTACACAGTTACAATGGTGATTTTTAAAGTACTAACTTGCATAGCAGTCTTGGGAAGAACAGGTGTGACTGAGTGAGAGTCTGATGCAGCATTACTAATGTTTGCTAAAACCCCAAAAGTTTCAAAGAATGAAGCATTTGCTTTATAGAAGATACTTGAGGACAATTTCTGATGCTGCTAAGGTTTATTGAAAAATTTGCACTGAGTTCGGTGGTTGTGCAGGTTTGACTCCTGCTCATACATTAGATCTGAACAGAACAGAAACCTGCATTTGAAGGAGGATTTTCTATGAAGGATAATCAAACTAGTAATCTACTTCAGGAATTACTTTAAAATATTTGGAGCATCGGTTAAAGACAAATATGTAAAGTTTATCATATGCTCCTCCATCAGGTGTGAGCATTGACAGCAGTCAGCCGTCTGCCTCAGAACTTGTTGGTGTTCAGCTGAAACATGTCAGTTGTGAGACTTCATGGCCATGAGCTCATGGGCCATGGTTCTCTCAAAGCACAAAGTGCTGCAAGTTGTGTTTCTTGCACAGCAGTGACTCTTCTCAACAGGAGTAACTATACAACAGGGCAAAAGACAAATTTAGTGAATATTATGTGTCATTATCAAAATAGCTGTTTGTGTTTCAACATGATGCAGATCCTTTTCTATAGCGGTAGTGTTGGCAACATCTGTTAGAATTTGGCTGATCCTCTCTTAAACTCATTTAAACTTTCAGCCTCCATTAAATCCCTGACAATATGTTTCACAATGGGAAGATTACTTCCTTCCAAAAATAAAAAGAAAAAGAAAGAAAAAAGAATGGGTGGAGGAAGTGGGGTTAAAAAGTCTGTTGTCTGCCAATGTTATGGGCTGCTCACTCCCTTTTCTGTAGGACTGACGGGGTTTTTTTCTTTTTCTGCCTTAACCTATCCTCTGCACCTTTGGTCACCTCCTGAAGTTTGTCTGTCGTTTTCTATGTTAGTAGGTAAATTTACCTATTGTATTTTCTAGAGCTTTGATAGTTGTTAAATAGTCTGTAATAGCCTTTTATAGTCTTTAAATTAAAAAGCAATTTACATTTTGGAGCAAATGTATTTGCTTATTCGTTTTCATAAGTAGCTATGAAAATTTATTTATCTGTTGCCCCTTTTAAATTAAAATTTAATGTTAAATAAGAAATGTATTGGAAGTAAATGCTCAGTGTTGAGAGATCATGGGAAATATAGAGAATTTGTATTCAAAATTATGGACTTTTTTCCAGATACTCTTCTGGGTCTGAGGCACACTGAAAGATTTCTTGTGTGGTGTGTTTGGTTTCATTGACTTCAGCAGAAAACATGGACTTAAACTAGCGAGAATCTGATGATAAGATTCTATATTCTGCCTAATGTAGTGTTGGGATGACTTGTCATCTGAAATCAAAAGTGTATCAGATGATCTTACCAGGAGGCTGGATCCTGGATCTGGAAATTACACTGATAGTGATGTTACACAATCCATGCTCATAACTTCACTGGTTTCTTGCAGCCTCTCAAGTTCTTAAGGACAATAACGGTCCTGTCCTCAGTGATGTCAGTTGTAAGACATGTGGTTTATCTGCTGTTGGATTCTGCTTTTTTGCCTGAAAAAACTGTTGATTTAAATGAGTTTGCATATCTTATGCTAATGATGTGGCTGGAATGAAACAGGATCTTGTGTAGTCTGATCCAAGGACTGTGTATGGTCATGGTTTGGAACTGAGTGGGAGGGATTGGTTACAGTTACTTCTTATTTGCACAATTTAATATCTTAAATATGAGTGAACAGTATCCTGGGAACAGTTTCATTTTGACAAGAGGAAATTTATAGATCCGTTTTATCCTGTATTGGAACTAAAATACATGTTTATGGAAGACGGCGAGTCTGGCTCAAACACTGAAACACCTCAGTTTTGGGTACACTATTAGAACTCTTGTAAAATTTTCAAATCATAACAGTCTGTTAGTTTATGCTTGTGGACCTTAACTGATGCCCTATGAAAAGGTATATATTGCTAATAATTAATATTTGGTTTGTGGACTATGTCTTTTGTATGCTCTAAAGTCACATATAAATAACTTTTGTTTTCTTTTCATTTATAAAAGTTCTGTTCACCAAACCACATAAGCACATACCTAAATTAATTGTTAAACTTCCTGAATCACTGTGTTGCTGCAAACTGTTCTGGTTGATAAACCTAAGCGGTCAGCTTTGTATTCCTACGTGTGTGTGATCAGTACGCAAATAGCTCAGAACAAGTTACCAGGCAACTGCACGCTCCTGCTGCACAGGAGGCACAAAGCACCTGGCCTGTTCCTTTTCATCTGTGGAAAAGTACAGATTCTCCTGTGACCTCGGTCACTCTAACATATAGATAAGGGTATTTTTCTATTCCTCTTACAGTGGGAGGAACAACTGCGTGTGTTTCTGCAGCATGTGAGAATTACTCTACCAAGATTCTTCTGTTTCAATTGGAAAAAGCCAAAACAAAACGCAATTTTAAAACAAATTCAACCCTCTTCAGTATTTCCCTCTCCCAGCTAAGCAGCTGTTTTTCAATTTATACTTTGAAGTCAAACTTCTGTAGATCGCTGAGCACCCTCTTGGACTTAGTGTAGCCTCTCACCAGTTATACTCCACCCTTCTTGAAGTGCAGTACATCATCCGGAGGGTTCAACAACTAATCTGTGCCAATATAATGCTGCCAAAATAATGTGTGGACGTACTAACTCAAGTGTGGTGTGTGACAAGGCATCACTGGGATTTTTAATTGGTGAGAAATGGTACATAAAAACCAGGTGAGAGAAACGGGACGTGAGGCTGGCGTACTGGTCTTCAAGCTTGCAGTGCAGCTCCATGGGCTTTGGCTGACTAAAGAAAAGCATGAGGCATAGGGGAGAACTGCTGCTGGATCTTACTGAAAGATGGTAAGTGATTCGGAGAGAGGTTTTCAAAGTCAGAAATTCAAGTTAGGTGCCCAGTTCCAAATAGTCTGTGAAATCATTGTGTACTTCCCTCGCTTGTGTGACTTTGTATATTGTCTGGCAGCTTTTGTTTCAAAGTTAACAAAGTGATGCCTGTGTGATAGGTCTCATAATGATCTCGTAATAATAGGCATAATTCAAGTAATGGAAAATGTCAGCATTTGAAATAGAGCCGTGATAAATTATTAATGATTTCTACAATTGTCGCTTACCATGCCTTCCATGTTACAGGTGTCTTAATCATTGGTGCTGTAACCTCAGACCTTGAGCTGTACTATCTGATTTTTGTTTCAGGGTATGCTCTGAACCTGCCATTGGCACTGCCTTAGCCCTCTGGCTAAACAGAGTAGCAAGTAAGTTGTGGATGATCAGTATGACCAGCGGGCAAACAGCATTCTTTTCAGATCAATAGGGAAGAAAGTTGCACCAGGTTGTCTGGGTTCCCTAATAGCAAAGGTCGTTGTCACATTTTTTGATGTTTTGTATTTTCTGCCTTGTTCAGGGTCAGTGGATGACTGGAGTGAACTCTCAGATCTTTGCAAACTGTAACTATGGAAAAATATTTGTTGACTTGCTTGTGTGCTATGTAGACACTGAAGAAATTGGATGCTGCTCATCCTTAAGTTGGAGATAGGAATGTGTTACTGAAAAATAAAATAGAACTGGGCCCCTTGAGGCAGAAATGTGTTGATAAAATCATGTGGTATTTTTAATTAAGACATTGTGACTGTTTTATCAGCTAACAAACAGATCCTCTGCTGAAATGATGTTTGTTCCAGGTAATTCTAGCCAGTCTCTCAAAGAAATGGATCTGCTTTGCAAATGAGAAAATGTGGACCTAAATACTGAAGCAGTAAGGGCTGTTTTTCTTCCCCAGTTCAAAACTATCACAGCAGAGCCTATATAGTTTTTAAATCAGAGCAGCTCCTTCACCTACTTGTTAGCACACAGAGCAGAATCTGTACTTTCTCCTTCTGTATAGTAGTTGCAAGAAAATTAGTTGCACTCCTTCACTTGTTGGGGAAAAAGTGGGATGTTGATCAAGTGCACCTGTAGCAAATACATCCTTTGCTTAAACAATTTAGACAGTTTTCCTGTGTTGATACTCATAGAAAAAATCAAAACCTGAAAAATTTACTTTAAGGATTAAGCTAATAAGACTGTTTTCTGAAAAGAAGAGTAATAAATGGAACGGAGTTTTAGAGAAAGTAGTTTTCATAGCCCTTTGAAGTGAGGTAAAATAACTGTCTGTAAGCACAATGTCTAAGCAAAAGATATTTGGTCTCTGTGATTCTTTCTCTGGCCTTCTGAATGAAAAGTCTGTGCGAGTCCTGGTGTCTGTGCTACAGAGACTGATCTGCTTTGCAAGCGGAGATTGTTCTGAAACAGAGCAAAGTATGAGAGATGGTTTTGATTACTATTGCGTAATTTAAACATACTGTAAAACAGCCACATCTTTTTGTGACTGCAAACTTCGTTTAACTGCATAAAGGATGAATGTGCCTCATGAATAGTTTCTTGTGTTCATGCACGTTGCCAGTGTTTTACTACTGCGGGAAATCCCAGCAATTGTAAACAAC